CTTCTATAAGTTACACGATTCATACAAGCTACTTGGAATGGGAAGTAATTAAAAGTAAACCCAATTAACAGACAAAGCATTATTATTTGTGTTAAAATATGGATTTAGACTTCATTTTAATATGGTTCTGGTTTATAAACCACCTGTAACTGTTAAAGTTTCAAATACCAACTTTCAAAAAGTAGACGTTAACGTTTTTGTGTTACTTGACGAGAAATTATAAGAAAATCGACAAAACGGAACCGAATTATCGATTAATTGTATCAACAAAACAATTCGCTATGTTTTTAAATAACATCAACATCACCATCAGCCTATAAGTGGTCGCCGCTGATCAAAAGATTCTCATACGGAGAAGGTTTGAGCATAAAGCCCGGGTTTCCTAGCGCTGTTTTCCTTCAATGTTTGCCAGTGCTGTCTAAATAGTCTTAGAAAGTACATATAACTCGGAAAAGTTACATTGGTACATGTCTTTAATAGGTTTCGAACTCGCACTCTTATGAATGAAAAACGGGCGTCTAATACGTCCAGGTCACCAGGAAATTTAGACACAATATGTTATAAACTACTATAAATTGCGTAGTCTATGTTCCAGTGTACAATCTACATTCTACATTTTCAAACGAGCCCCTATCGTTTTACTGAGAGATACATTGACAATTCTATTTAAACTGACTTTTGATGTTTCAAAACTGACAATTGCATCGGTACTTTGAATTTGATTTTGATAGTCAACTTTTACCTTTGTTGTGTTATGTCGCCACCGGTTTGCTTGTCTTATATCGCTTTTCTTAGTTACTTTAGTTTTGAAGAAAATATGAAAGCTTTTAAGATGTGCACTGTAGTGCAAATTGAGTTGTTTGTGATGGAGCGGTACAATCGATGCTGTGCTGCGAACACTTAGGAGTCACATAGGCAAGTGTAAAGTCGATAGTACGTCAGTGATATTGTCTTGATATTATGTTGAAGTTATTAGCTACTTTGTCCGATGCACACTAAAATACTAAAAGAAAAAAAAGGGAATCCGAAAAAAATTGACTGCGCGGTTGGCGAGGTGGTTGGGCAACTGACTGCCGCGCAACGTGTCGTGGGTTCGATTCTCGACGGAACAACTTTTTGTGTGATCCACAGATTGTTGTTCCGGGTCTGAATGTCATATATATGTGAACTTATATGTTTGTAAACGCACCCACGACACAGGAGAAATTCCTAGTGTGGGCAAAGCTTTATAAAAAAAATGAAGTCGATGATATCTTTTTCGAAAACCGAACAATCCCCAATGGTATACATAAACTGCCCGAAAATTAGATGCCATGCGAACAACGAAACAGTCATCATAGGTACAAGCACACACACACAAAACATCAATCGTGTCGTTTCATAACAAACTAATAAGGAACACTTTCATATCTTCTCAGTATCGCAGGTGTACGTTTACCAATTCATAATAATTCTCGCGATACTGAACTACTATTAACAATTACTTTAATTAATACTCCCAAGACGTCTGCACTATATTTTGAAGCGCAATGTTAACAATTAACTTACTAGGAGTAAATCTTATACTGCATATCATATGAGTATGTTTAGAGTAACATGGTAACATACGGCTTTATAGTCTTCTAGCTTTTACCCGTGGCTTCGCTCGCGTCACAAAAGGATAAAAAGTAGCCTATGTAACATATACCAATACACACAGCGCCATCTATACCAATACCTTTGTTTTCCCTCGGGAATATCAAATTTTTCTGGGATAAAAAGTACCCTATTATTTAATCCGGACTTCTAACTTTACGTCTGCAAAATTTCAAAGCAATCGGGTTAGTAGTTACGACGTGAAAGCGGAACAAACAAACAAACAAACAAACTTTCTGATTGATAATATTAGTAAGTATTTAAACCTATTCAGATAAAGAACTGTTTTTAAACGGAACCAAGCTGATGTGCAACGTGTGGTGGGTTCAACAGCGAGGCACAACTCTGTGTGTCATCAATTAATTGTGTGAAGAATCTTTATATTGTAAAAGACTGTGAAGGAGGTTTTGTTTCCTGAAATACTAATGCCTTGAGGCTGACATCTGTCCAGTCGCCCACTATATGTAGGTATGCGATACCCGTAACAACAGCTGAGTTACATATGCCTTACTGGCCTATCGGAAAAAAGGTTGAGACTTTGATAATCTATCAGTAATCACACCAATGTCATGTATTAAAGAATTGTCGAGACAATAAATAATTTTATAATTAAGTAGCATAATACATAAGTATCGTAAATAGCTAATTAAAATAGATTTGCTAGGCTAAATATAGCCTTGGATTCTATTCAGCATTTCCCTGAACAGATGAGATGAAGTGGGCAGTACACCTACTATCCCAACATCCATTGTTACACATTATTATCAGGTGCCATAGATATAATACTACTTGAATAGAAAATGTTTGAAAAAGTTATGAATACTGAATAATTGGAAGTACTTAAGTATAAGTTTTTATAGGACACAAAGAGGTTCACGAGCAGACGTTTCTCAAAGTGATAAACGTCGCCCATGGACACCCACAATACCGGCGGAGTCATAGGTGCGTTGTCAATCTGTGTGGTTGAGAGATATTGTAGGTGCGTTGCCCTCCCTTTGGATGGTTAGGCGTTTGGTGACGGCATTCACACGGCAACACACAAAGCAAGAATTGTTGCACGCGGGCCGTTTTTCTATGAGGGCGTGGTATCACTCTGATCAATGTAGCCCATTCGTACTCAGGCTCTTCCATGTGAAAAGATAGAGTTACAATTTGGAAAAAGACAAAGGCTCACCGTGTGTTGACAATCCCTTAAAAGTACGAGTTTAAATTGCATTCGTATAAAACAATACTGCACAAAATTTTCAAATTAAAAATTTTACAGAGTTACTGACATCTAAATCGGACGATGTCGAATTGAATGGGAACTTTGATACAATGGTAGTGGAAGTTTTTATAGAAAAGTTTTAAATTGTTATTTAATAAATTATTCAATGTTTCTGAACGTACGAACTAGGGTCCATATGCAAAGCACAATACTAAGTAGTCCTGTTGGTCGATTTTTCGAAAATGTACAGACTCGCATGAAATTCCGCGAAGTCGTTTGACAAAGTTAGCGTGTAAAGTTTTTTTTTAGTTAGTAACTGCTACTAAATAGGTTAAACTTGATTAAACCAGTTTGCATGATATGTGATGATGTAGCGAGCTAATTAGTCGAGTTTTGGAGATATCATTACTATGGTAATAAAATATTTATTTATGTAACTTTTTTATGACAAGTAATTTGATTTTATACTTAACATCATGACTGTCATTCGTTCTATTATTTTGATTATTTATATAATTACATGTTAATATTTTTTTTGTGGAATCGATGTCCCAACCAATCGAAGACCACAGAATTTTTGACGCTGCAGCCCTTTCAGTGGCCGCGTTTGGATCACCATCGCGAATTTGATTCTTGCTTTGGACAAATAAATTTTTATGCCTGATCTTTATAGTGTCGTATAAGAAAAAGAAACATATTACAAATGATATATTACTGGATTTCTTGATCATTATATAGTACAAAAAAATGGACTTTAAAACTTAATAAAAAAATAAATCATTCCTATATGAATATAAAAACAGGCATTTTAAACATCAATTAAATATTATGCAAATATTTTAAGCTTCGATTACGAATATCAATCGATTTTATAGTATTCAAAGTATAAAGAAAAATAGTAATGCTGTAATGAATGACTTTTGCATACATTAACACTGCGATTGAGTATCTGCTCATACGGAATAATTTAAAGGTTATTCGCAACCGCACAGTGTAAGTAAAACATTAAACAATTATAAAAAAACATCATAAGGTAGCTAATATTCGTCTAATATATATAGTATTTAGTCTTTTCCTTAAAAAAATCAGCTGAGAAATTTGCAGACAGACGTTAACGGTGTCTCTCTATTTAGAGGGATAAATTCGACGCTTCATGAGCAGGACGGTGCAGACTACATATGTGTAAGCTTGCATTGTTTTATGCACACAACACAAGTACCCAAGCCAGCTTGCAACCAAAACCATGTACCCAAAGTAAGTTTCGGAATCAATTAACAGACTACAAAAATAAACGATTATTCTCCGCGGTGATCGATACGTAAGATTGAAACCAGTTTTATAATACTTTTTTTATAACACACGCGTACCGGCAACAACAATTTGGAATTTAGCATTACGAGTTTCAACTTATTTCACTTATTGTACTGACCTCATTTAAGTTCGTAAATATAATGAAAGACAAATGACTGGCTTCGATTAAAATTAGCGCACGTAAGGTAATCGCTGTAACAATACACCCGTAGGTAATAGTTTGCAGTTGTAAAAGTGGCAATGAGACAATCAGCATTTTACTGACTTTATTTTATGTCACACTATTAAAAAACACGCTACAATTTCTTTTATTATTACCCTACTGACTTATATTCAATTGAATTGAACAAATTTGTTTTACAACTGGGTTACCCTAAACTTTATCGACATCAAATAATCGTTTTATCAACTGATAGACACCTAGACATACTTTCCTGCAAAGAAATCAAACAGCTACTACGCTATGCCGCGAAACTCTGTACTTAAATTATTTAAAGATATTAAGTAGCTCCTAAGTTATAATTATATGTCCCTCCGAACTGTCCGTGTAAATTCTTTTATGTAAAATTCAAACAAGCTCGAACTGAACCATCGTAAAGTTAAAATATGTTCAGTTGTTGCAGAAACCGGCTCTGACACCTTATAGCTAGTTATTACTTTAACTTAGCCAATATTCAAACAAAACACAAATCTTTTGTCTCCTTAAAATGAGTCAGGCACACAATAAATACAAAATCGCAAGGTCTAGACTGAGCGAACTCGAAAAAAAGTTTTGCAAAGTATTTTTCAGAAAGGCCGCGGGCTGGATGGCTGCCGGCTTTTTGACAAACTTTTTTGGAAGACTTACCTTCAAGACTGATGCCACGAGGACAAGCAGGAGGACCGCTAGCGGGGTTCCTCCGGACCTCATGGTGGTCCAAGAAGGAAGGAAGACGAACGTTTGGAAGTTAAGTCCGATGACCGGGAAGCGCGTAGGCGTCGTCCGCGCCGTTCCACAGTCGGACCGCGAATGATGCCCGCGGCCCGCTCCGCTACGCTCCTCCGCTCGGCTCCTCTCACAAGCGTTACTTTTCGTCCCAACTCCAGAAGCGCACGCAATACTTCGACATTCAAGCCTGCAGTGCTTCCTACGCAACCGATGATGCGCCGAGCAACCCACGCCGATGCAACTTATATACTATGCTTTTATTTTTTAATACTAATTGTGTTCTTAGCAATTTTTTTGAGTGCTTTTATTTAATTTGTTTGCCTATCAAGTACTATGCAGTCTGGATACATTGCAAATTACTTCACGTTTGCATATATTATCAAGTACGTAGAAAAACTCTTCGTCTCGTTCCCGCGCGAACCCTGCAAAGTTCTTTGACCCCTCTCCTACGCTTATCACAATGGCTCAATCGTAAATCAAGAACGTCTTATGTTTTATCGTAGTGCTCATAGAAAAATATTCATTATGAGTTTGGAATAGAGTTAGTAGTATAATAATAGAAGTCGATAGTGATTCAAAATGATAACGCTACTATTTACTTATTCGTTGTGACCAATTCCTTAGTTCAGTCGGTTGCACCTACTAGTATATATTTTAGTCTATTATTGTATATATGTAATTCAATATCTAATAAAATAAATCACAAATATAATATAATGTGTTCCTGGGAAAATAATTATGTTACCAAGTTAAACTCAAGGCAAATATTTTTTATCCTCGAAATACCTACATATTAACGATACACATTTTATTAATGTTGACGTTAGTATACTTATTTGTTTAGGATTTTTAAGTTACGATAATTGAATATCATTATCCAAAAAAAAAGGGCAAGAAATATCCAGGGCTCCTTCGGCACAGTCGTACTAGCGAACATTATGATTGCAATCCTTTGCAGTTTTTTTTTATTCTTACATCAGTGAAATGCATAATATCTACACCTAGTTGTACCTACATACCTGCATACAGTTGAAATCCGCCATTTCCTATTAACTTATTAAAAATCATTTCTAAGATTTTTTTTTAAGGGGCGAAAATCATCGAGTGACTGCTCCCGCCTGGGTGAGGCGGGAGGGAGTGTCAGACTCTTACTGACTAAAAACCACCCCGTTACTTCTCCTGCACGTCGAGCCGGAGCCCCGGTAACCCGTTAGGTCCTCCGCGACATCATTTCTAAGATATGATTTTGTGCAATAATAAGTACGTACGTGGACAAAATTCTGTATTCAGTAGGTGAAAAAGGACTGCGTATGAAAATGTGAATATAATATTTTTTTGAATGTTTGTCAATTAATATAAAAAAAATACTGTTGAGATGTGTCTACTCTTTTAAATGGCCGTGCGAGTGAAATTTTATACTGCGATCTCCAAGCCGCCTGAAACTTAGAGATAGATCTATGAGTCTAGCCCAACACTGAACTCTCATGGGTTGCTGACGATGATTTTGATGAAAGGTGAAGTCGACCAGAGTTGAGATGAAGAGAGAATAATGCCATGGAGTAATTTAGGTAGGGTTACAAACCGAAGAAATGAAGAAATAAAATACGGTATCCTGACACCTTGTGTAATACACGCTACACACCTTACTATTTAACTGTACGGTTCTACATACTGCACAGTCGAACTGTAACGTTAAATCGTACTAACAGTTAACTGCACAGGGAAATCGTAGGTCCATATCTACACTCCTTCAGTTAAACTATAGTTCAACTGTTTGCTTTTTTCATGGGATAAGTCGGTAAACGAGTAGACGGATTACCTGATAGTAAGCAATCAGGGCCGCCCATGGGTACACCAGAGGTGTTACAAGTGCGTTACCGGATTTTTAGGGATTACAAATTTGGGGATTGTTAGGATTCAGAAAATATTTAGATGAGGGGGGGGGGGTTATTTACGGGGGGGACGAAATACAACGTGAGTGTTGTTTCACGTTGGATTTCTGCGAGGCCGTGGTATAACTCTGGTCGAGCCAGCCCATTATTGCCGAAGCATCGCTCTTCCACACTTACTTGCCCTACGCAATTTACAATTTAACTGTACAGACCGACTGTCAACTGTTCAAACCACACAGTTAAATCGTAAGGTATGTATGCATAAGTCAATAGGGTTTTTTTTAAGGGGGGAAAATCATCGAATGACTGCTCCCGCCTGGGTGAGGCGAGAGGCAGTGTCAGACTCTTACTGACTAAAAACCACCCCGTTCCTTCTCCTGCACGTCGAGCCGGAGCCCCGGTTACCCGTTAGGCTCTCGGCGACAAGACAATAGGGTGAACCCATAAAAATATAATAAACATTATTTTTTTTACTGTACCTATAGTTGAACCTATTGACATACACTGAGCACACTTAACGACTTCATGCTCACATTAAAGAGATTTTATTTGATAAACCCCCATAATACCTACATTGCCTGATCCGATCATAGAACTCGAACTTTTGCTCGGCTATCAAACTTGTGACCACTCAAACAACGAAGTAGTCCAATGAACCAATGGACCAAATTTAAAGAAATAATTTTGTTTTTCGTTTAAGTTGTAATTTTAGCTGAACAATTTTAAGAGTAAGTAATCTACGCTTTGATAAGAGAGCTACAAAATTAGGTTAAGTGACAAGAGGTTAGGTTAGGCTATCGGGTGCCATCTTTCTGTTGTGATTAACTCTGCTTTCATGTGTAGGTATGTTGACGATCAAAAGGTTGATGTCTCTTTGAGTATGTTGCAGAATTTTAAACTTATCCCCACAATAGGAATTTGTCGCGGAGAACCCACGGGTAACCGGGGCTCCGGTTCGACGTGCAGGAGAAGGAACGGGGTGGTTTTTAGTCAGTAAGAGTCTGACAGTCCCTCCCACCACACCCAGGCGGGTGCAGGCATTCGATGATTTTCCCCCCTTAAAAAATAAGTGCAATTATAATATTATGAATTTTATATTGTAGTGTATGTTACTTATACCATTTTTATCACCGACTCAAACCAAAATCTTTGGGTTGGCGTAGATTTTTGATGAAATCGATTTTTCATCAGAAATATAGATTGCTCCAGAAATACATTCAACCAAACCGCTGGATGCCACCTTCCAACCGGCCAATCGCTACCGCTTGCTACCAAGTAAGATAGTTAAAACGCGTCCTCTTTGTTACATGGATCGAATCGTCGAGTTTTTTGTACCTATTTGAATCTTGTGTTGTTGTAATTAAATTGTAGGTACTAACGAAACATATTTATCATTATATTTTGTTTTACTGATCTAGTAATTTAGAAATCTTGCGGGAGGCCTATACCTAAAATATTCCGAGCGTACGGCGCGTCGCGTTCCGCGCGCGCCTCAAAGAGCCATCAGACCACCACAGATGGGGCCCAATAGGGCCGATGCCGATTCGGAGTCGCGGAGAACCTAACGGGTAACCGGGGCTCCGGCTCGACGTGCAGGAGAAGGAACGGGGTGGTTTTTAGTCAGTAAGAGTCTGACACTCCCTCCCGCCTCACCCAGGCGGGAGCAGTCATTCGATGATTTTCCCCCCTTAAAAAAAAAAATACCTAAAATATTATAAAATACATTTTCTTTAAACTGTCAAACACCAAGCGGTCACCGGTGACCGCAACCTATTGTTCTATAATTGTGTCTACAAAACCAGTACTCGACGAGTTAATCGTATATATTATTGCTTTTGCTAGACATGCTAAATTAATTATTAAGTTTTTGGATTAGGAGAAGCCAATATCAGCGAGAGAATCGCTGCGCCACGTCATGTGTCGCGAAATGCTGCTCCTGAATATGAGCCTCTAGTATGGCTTGAAACTAGTCGAGTCCCTCATCAAACGGTTACCTACGTGAGCAAGTCTTTCAACAATCTTTCAACAATTTTAATACCTCTACATCTATGTTTTTATAATAACTATTGTGAGACATACTAAATTAACTAAAAATCGCGGGTTTCTCACGTGAAGAACCGCTCTGGAGTTCGAAACTAGTAGAGCTTTTCTCAGTATATTTACGTGAGTAACCCGCGATTTTTAGTTAATTTTAATATATGTCTATTTTATATTAATACATTGAAAAGTTGTAGTAGTTTATTATTGACTAATAAAGTAACTACTAACAAAGAGGTTTGTGAATACTTAATATCTTTTACCAAAGAACTGTCAAAGAAACAGAAAAGCTGCTTAGTAAATGCATAAAGGAAACGAAAAGATTTTTGATGAAATATTTATTTCAGAAAATGGTCATAATCAATTTTTTTACTCTATTAAAGGTTTTTTTTTTAGAAAAAGATTGACTGTATGGTTTTTTTAAGAAGGGAAAATCATCGAATGACTGTTCCCGCCCAGGTGAGGCGGGAGGGAGTGTCAGACTCTTACTGACCAAAAACCACCCCGTTCCTTCTCCTGCACGTCGAGCCTGAGCCCCGGTAACCCATTAGGTTCTCCGCGACTGAGTGTATGGTTGAATCTACCATTTACTAATACTTTGCGTCGTACTTATATTAGTCGTATATAACTTAAAATGATAACGAAATGCCTCGTTGGCCGATTGATCGCAAGTGCTAGGCAAGGGGTTTCGGGTTCAATTCTCGGGTTGGGCAAAGTATTACTGGCTTTTTTAAAAATTATCAGTAGTAGCCCAGAGTCTGGAATTGTGCCCGGTATATGGCAATAGACTCACCCCCTGTTACATGGGGCTCATAACATAAATTGTGAAAAGCGGGTGTTATATTGTACAGTGGTATTTAGTGCCATAGGTAATGTGCACCTCTGCCTGCCCCTTCGGGGATAATAGGCATGATGTTGTGTTATATTATGATAACGAAGTGACTAGTAGCGGTACCTTATACTTACAATGAGACATCAACTAATGTTCTGAAACACGGGAATATAAATCCGCGTGCTTGGCAATCTAAGTAGTGACCTCTCAATAAATTGTCTGACTGACATTTGACTGCACGGTTGGGCCGGACTGGGCAACCGGCTGCCGCGTAACGTGTCGCGGGTTCGATTCCCGCACGGAGCAACTATTTATGTGATCAACAGATTGTTGTTTCGGGTCTGGGTGTCATGTGTATGTGAACTTCTTTGTTGTTGTTGTTTGTAAACGCACCGACGACACAGGAGAAAAAAACGTTTTAAAAAAATTCGGTAATGTT